AGGAATTCATACGGTTGAAAACATTCTAATCTGTCGTGGTATTTGTGTGCTTTTTGCAACAGAAAAAATGCTCCCTTATTTTTTTTCTGTAGTCCAAAAAGCAAGCAAAAACTAAGAGCCGGCATTTTCTTAGAGGCACCTCAAGTCTAAAAAGGTTGAAAACCACTGTTCTAATGCCTCTAGCTTTTTGGAATGACCCGATAGAAACTGTTTCCTGATACTGGTGTTCCTCATACAATGTTTTTCATCAAGCAGCCAAATTCCCAGAATTAGAAAGCAGATTGTCTTCTGTACCTCCAAATTTATCAGGTGGACAGGTTCTTTTTATTGGAAAAAGCTCATTCCAGAAATCTTATAATCTCCACCGGAGTTAAAGCAGTTGTGGCATTTGTCTTTCGTATTTCTCTCCTGGATTCATCCGCTACTCATACGGATTATGAGAGGAGGGCCACAGCTAATATCTTGGCATTTTACTTTGACCAGAATGAGGCACAAAAACCAAAAAAATACTGAAATGAAGCTAAGAACATTCTTTTTTTCTATTACAGCAAGGAGTTGTGGTATCCAAGATCATTTGCATTTAGATAAAGGGAATTCTAAACTGACTAGCTATGCAGATAGAGGTTGGATGTAGATCTAAGTAAATGCATTCTCAGTACCTGACGAAGCTAGTCTCTTAATCACCCATGATTTTTCGTATTCTTCTTGGTTAAGTATCTATGGACACTTGGTCTAGTGGGGCCTTCTTCTTAAGGGTTTACTCAGCAGCCAACCTGTCCAGAACCCGAGATTCATGGCCTGCAGAACATAGATACCCATAAACTTGTGGACTTGCTGCTCAAAGTTGAATAGTCTTGCAAGTGTGCTTGTTCCTCTTATTGTCTCTTGCTCAACTTTTAAAGTGAGATAGTTCTTTTCTTTGTGTAGTAATCCTTTTCACTATAAGTAGGGATCTACTCAAATCCCGATTTTTGCGCATTGTATGGAAATTGAGAAGTCGGACAAAGCCTGTGAAATCTGCAACCTCCTCCCCCACCCCTTCCAGAATGTATTGAAAATAAAATGTTGGCTCCCCAGAGGGAGCCAGCAGTCCTCATGGTGCTGCAACACTGCTGCGCAGCCAGTAGGGAGGACGAGGGGAAGGGAGAATTCTGGCAGGGAGAACCCAAGATGGCTGCCACCTCTGGCCCTCGCCACTGATTTGCTGAGAGGAATGCCTGTCCTGCAGCCCTGCCACTCTCCACCAATTGGTGGTGAAAGGCAGGGTTGTATAATGGACAGCCGTCCCAACCAATCACTGGTGAGGGGTAGGGCTTTATAATGGACAGCCCTCACAGCCAATCAGCAGCAAGGGGCAGAGGTGGCACCAGAGCCTCTCAGTCCATTACAGATGTGGGGGATCCCACTGCAATCAGCCCTTGAAAATGGTGGCCAGCCCCACTAACTCCCCACACAATCAGCTGTCTGTCTTGTCGAGTTGGATAGATCCCTAACCATAAGAAGAACTATGTACACAATTATACTTTCCTTGGTTATTATTTTTTTTTACACAAAACTGAGCCTTGTAGGTGAGAAGGGTTGTCTGTATCCACCATGTTTTACATATGTGTAAACTCAGGATTTTATTTTTTTTTGTTTGTTTGTTTTTCAAAGGTCCATAAAAGATTGAGTTTTGTAGCCACTTTAGCAGCTGAGATTTCAGGAAGCAAGTATCCATCCAAAGAAATATGCTGTCTGGTTGCGTGGCCTTTTTTGTCTTTCTTGATGAAGCACTGTGAAGTAGATGGGCTGTCCTTAATTTTTTTTCCTCCTTGAATGAAAGGTTCTGTTGCTCTTCCTTTGGTTTTCCTTCATGAAAATGCTCACTTTTCATTAAAATTTCACTTTTTATGTGTGGAAAATAGTATTCAACTGAGAGGTAGTGTTTTTAACCCTTGGCTCCATTTCCTTGAGTTTTATTTTACTACTGTTTATTTTCCCAGTCATAATGAATTTTAGAGAAAACAGATGGCCAGAAAGGGGAAAGATATAATGTAGTTCCTTACAATAATTTTATCTTTGCTTAAATGAGCTGTTGCTCCATGAGGCTCGTGCTTGTTGATTCATCTGTGTTACAAGGAAGATATCTTTTGTCATTCCTTTCCTCTCACCCTCTTCTCCCCTCTCCGCTCCCCTGTCTGGTTTAATTCAGTAGAGAAGTCACATTTGTTCTTAGGATTTTGACTTGTCCTAATTCTTTTCATCAGTTATTCAGATAAAAAATAAAATGAAAACATCCTGTACAAGATGGCTAGCTACTTTTCCATAATGTCTACTAATCAGAGTGTATAGTTTTTCTGCAACTGTGGCAGTTGCCACAGGAGTTCGAAAATTAGATAGAAGTCTAAATTGCTCCCCTGTTGATATGACTTCAGATAGCTAAGAGGAAAAAAGACAAGAGGAGCCTCCATGTTTGGAAGATGAGCAGCAGGAAGCCATGTCATAATGAATCAAGGAGAAACAGTTGCCCTTGTTAGCAAAGGTAACATTTATCCTAAGAAAATATTTTTTACCTATGGCACAAATACATTTTGAGAATTAAAATGGCATTATTCTTGGCAACCTAGTCTTTCGTTGATAAGAACATACTTAAAATTGACTTCAAAAAGCCTTCTTTGGCAAAAATAACAAAAAATATTGGGTTGCATTTCATGGAATGGATTGAGGAAAGTATTGGTTGCTGGAAAAGAGAAAATAAGAATATTTTTCAGTCCAATATGGTAGGTTGCGAGTTGTTTAATGACCATTACTAGTCATGCCAGTTTGTGTCAGTCATTTTAGGCTTGTTTTACAGCCTTAGCTTTGAGATGTATGCATTTATTAAAAACAAACATACAAACAAAAAACATAGTTCCAGAGCTGCATCGACATTTAATAGTAATTGTTTTTGCTTTGTTACAGAGGGATGTTATATGTTTTCTAAAAGAATTAATGTTCAACAGTTGTTCAAATTCATGTTCACTTACTGAATTTTAATCATAGAATCATAGAAAATTAAGGTTGGAAGGGACCTCAGGAGGTCATCTAGTCCAGCTGCCTGCTCAAAGCAGGACCATCCCCAACTAGATCAGCCCAGCCAAGGCTTTATCTAGTCAGGTCTTAAAAACCTCCAAGGATGGAGATTCCACCACCTCTTTCGGTAGGTAACCTTTGCCAGTGCTTCATCCTAGTGAGAGAGTTTTTCCTAAAGCCTAAGCTAAACATCCCTTGCTGCAACTTGAGACCATTGCTCCTTCTTCTGCCATCACTGAGAAATGTTAAGTCTAAGCTTTTCTGCTAACTATTTACCTTCTAGTCCAAATTTTAAAGTTACTTCAGAACAAATTATAATACAGCTGTAATGGTAAACTTGCTAAACTACTCCCTGTACTTGTCCACTCATTTTCTTTTTGTGTATATATGTTGAGACTTTTCTAGTTGCTGACAGCTCTCATTCTAGAACTGGTTCGTTACCTCAGTGGTTCAGGTTTACAGGACATAAATTTCATTTTGTTTTGTTTTTAGTGGCAAGTGTTCAAAATTATGGTATTTTCTGGCTTTCTTTCCTTATAATAATTGTGCTTGTAAAAATATTTTATGGAGAAATTGAGAGGAAGTTGGTTTAGTTAATTCAAGCTAGACAACCTTTTTGTATTAGATGGTCTGTAGAAAGTAATGGTATCTTGTTTAAAAAAATAAAATCTTTGATCATGTGACTTTGCCAAGGCTTTCTTGTATTACTGTTGTGTCTGCTGCCTAGACAAATGGTTGTTCTTGTGCCCAGCCACAAATCTTGCAAATAACATGTTCAACCAATTTAATGTTTGAAATCTTTTTATGTAAGCACCATTTATTTATGATTAGAAAAAAGCCAAACCATTCAGGTTCTAATGGTATGCATAGTACTGTATCACTGTGTATAATGTTTTTGTTTCTTACATGAGAGCTGCTTTGTTTGAAATTGTTAATGCTTGTGATTTAAATTGATTCCAGTGAAATCTGTTTTATGTGAATCTGTTACCAGTTATGTATAAGACTTAAGAGAAAAGAAAAAAGGAAACAATAAAAAACCGGAATACTGCTTGCTGTCAGAAGTTCTTTTTTAGATGCAAGGCATCAAACAGGTTTTAGAAAATGGCTCTCTTTTTTTTTTTTTTTTCCTTTGGTCCCCAAGTCTACTACATTAGAAGTCATGATACTACCTTTGAATTTCTAGTCAATATTCCACCACTACAGGAGAGAAATGGTCTTTACATAGTAACAATACTTTTGATTTTCCTGTTGTATTTAGTTTTGTTCAATAGGAAAAACAGGATTGAGGATACTAGTACAAAATACTGTTTCTGTGCTTTACGTATTTGGCCATTTGTGTGTAATAGTCACTTGTACAGTTGTGGTATTTTTCACATGCAGGTTAGGTGCATAGCTCATGTTAGATTTAACAGTAAACAAGACAGATGGATAAATGATAAATGAACTGCTATGACAGCAGAAAGCTACAAAAGTTTGGAATATTTGACAGTGTGAAGGATAGAGCTCTTAGATGTTCAGGTTGCAGATTTTTACTCTGCGGAAGCACTGTATATGATATGCATCAAATTGACTATGTATGACATCCCTGATTTAGACCATCTTTACGCTGGTTAAGTAGTTTCCTTTTAACAGTGTTTTTGTGACATACGTAACAAAGTTTTGTAAAAAATAAGTAAATTAATAAAATATTGATTTAGTTTTCATTTACTTATAATTATACTTTTATGTTGGAAGAGATTGTTCATGCGCTGTTGTTGTAAGAGACAGTATGCTAAACAACAGTACCTTCCGGTGGAAAATAGTCTTTCTTTCAATTCTGCATAACTAAATTTATTCTACTTTAATATGCTATTTAGCATGGAGGAGGAAAGTCTCCTAAACAATATTTTGCAGCAGTTTGAGGCTAACTGTGAAATCTTATGGATGTGTTTTTCTTTTTCCCCTAACAGCTCAGCTTGGAGACTTTAACTCTACAGAACATCATTCAGGATACCTTGCAAATTGCCACTTTTTACCAGATCAGAACAAAGATTTTCTAATCAAAGTTGAATCGCTGCATGAACAGCACAGGTAATCATAATTTAGTAATTTGCAACCCCTTTTCTTCATTATTTGTCTCATGAACTTAAAAAAATAAATAGAGCGAAGACCATTTAAAGTTCCTAAAAGTTTTAGGCTGATGAGTAGTGTTGTATTAGTGTTGTGAAATAAACTTCAGCTTTCTAATTGTCTTTAAAAAAACCTCATGTGTTCTGAACTTGTTGTATATTCTGTGGTTGCACCTTATTGTTTAATTAAGTTGCATTTTAGAACAAATCTATAAATACTTGGCCTTGGTGAGGCTGCAGCACTTCACCCAGTTCTGGGCTCCACACTTTAGAAAGGACATGGAGAACTTGAGAGAGTCCAGAGGAGAACCACACATATGATTAGAGGTCAAGAGAACAGGCCTTATGAGGAGAGGCATGGGACTCTTCAGCCTGGAGAAGCGAAGGCTCAGGGGTGACTTAGTGGCAGCCTATAAGTATATAAGGGTGTGCATCAGGAACTGAGAGAACATCTGTTCACCAGAGCACTCCAAGGGAAGACAAGGTCTAATGGTCACAAATTGCTGGAAGATCATTTTAGACTGGACATAAAAGAAAAACTACTTCACTGTCCAAGTCTCTGGAGTCTGGAATAGACTCCCCCTTCCCCCCAAAGTGGTGCAAACACCTATTTTTGGATACCTTTTAAGAACTGCTTGGATGCTTATTTTGCTGGGGTGATCTGACCCCAGCTGACTTCCTGCCCCTTTGTCAGGGGGCTGGACTGGATGATCTCGAGAGGTCTCTTCCAGCCCTAATGTCTATGCAATCTGTGAACTATGTTCAGCGGTTTAAATGAATTAAATTGATTTAAACCATTGAGGGTAATTCGTTGAAAGCTTCTTGGATAGAGGGCTTCAAAGATCATGACTGATAGCCTTTTCTTTTCTGGGTATAAAAGAAGACATGGCAGTTTACTACAGCTGGACAAATGATCCATTTGGAAGTTTTGGATACTTAGGGGTATTTTTTTTTATTTGTTTAAAAAAATCTTTCTTCAGCATGGGTGAAATTTGCATAAAATTGATAGCAAGATTCCTTGATTCCTGCAGAGTAATATAAACTGAAATATTTTTTGTTGTTAAATACAGAAACACATTTCCGTTGACTGTGCGTTTCTGACACAATGGTATTGCACTGATGGGTACAGCTGACATTCACGCACATTCTGCTGCTAGGGTGAAGCTGAAATCTGGTTAAGCTATGAAAACAATTAGAGGCAGTCTTTTTCCTCTTGAGCTGGAATTTTCTGTCTTTGGTTTCATTTTAGAGATGCATTAAGTAGCTCTTGATATCTTAAGGCTGACACTTGCTTGGCAAGATTAGAAGCCTGGTCAGGAATTCGATCATTTTAGGATACCAATTTCATTGCTATGTTAGCTATATATAGCATTTTATTTTTGAGTTTAACACAGAAATTTGTTATCTGTCTCATTTGAAAATTTTAGGCCACATATATAACTTCCATCTTCTTCTGGGAAAGTAGTTTGTTTCCCAATAGAAAACGCGACAGTACAGATGTTCAGAATTTTTCTCCCAGAGCCAAAATGTCACTCCAGGAGAAAAATAACCTAGGAACAACTGGAGTTAAATACTACTAGGAAACTTTATCCTGGGAGAATGAATGTTCTTTTCTGACAGAAGCCA